CATAACATCAATACTATTATTTCTAATAAGAACAACATCTCTGAATCCTCAAATCACCAAGAAGTGAGAACTCGAATATGTTGTAATCTTAAAAGATATAATAGCAATAGTTATACCATGCACACACAACGACCATCCTTATTACATCCATAATTTCCCCTTTATAGCAACAGCTATCCATCGCACACAATGACCATCCTTATTTCCCCTAAAAATCTTATGACCTATTTCATCCAATGACAGGCTGCAGGCATAATTGTCAGAGTGAACCTCGTTCATAGTTTTAACCAAAATCTATAGACTATTTTCATCCAATGACGGAACAAAGTCATATATGTCAGAGTGAACCTCGTCTATAGTTTTAACCAATCATAATCTCAAAATAGGTTTATATTCAAAACCTTTCGAGTCTTAGAACAATCTRTTYTGTAAMTGATTTCTCAAATCATCTAATCCTCTTTAAATCCTCAACACAGGATATCATATCCAAAGCTGCTTTTAAAGCATAGTTTCTGCTTTAATCTTTTCCAAAACAGATTCAAACTTTAGAATCACAAAATATTTCCTTTAAAACTTAAACAGAATAGTTTTACCAAATTCTTTTAAGTTTCAAACCATCAATACTCAAAAGCTTACAAAATCAACAGTAGATATAAACTCACGGTTTGTAAACAGATCGTAGTTCAAAAACTCACAAGTTATATCAAAATAGTAAAACTCACCTTGTTAAAAAAGATTCTGTAGTAAAATATCACACAGCAAACACAGATTCTTTAGAACACTGGTTCTTTCTCAAGAACACCTTCACCGTCTTCAACTTTTCTTTCTAACAAATATATCTTCTTTCAAAACAAGGAATGATAAGATTATCTTGTAATCTTTCTATTTATACTCCTTTCTAAGATACCAATACTTTACTTCATCACTAAGATACCATTACTTTACTTCATCACTAAGATACCATTACTTTACTTCCTCACTAAGATACCATTATTTTACTACCTCACTAAGATACCATTATTTTACTACCTCACTAAGATACCATTACTTTACTTCCTCACTAAGATACCATTACTCTACT